TTTTTACCTGGCGTCTATGGAAGTGTTTCATACAGTGCAGGATGACGAAGGAAATGATTATCTGCAGGATGTTGAGTGCACCGTACTTCCGCGTCGTCTGATACCTCTCCTTTGATGCTGCTCCCCTGGTACCTCAGGCTATCTATATGGCTACATTTATAAAAAAGGATTTGTTTTTTTCTTTTTCTTGTCCTTATTGACATAATGAGTACGTTGTTTTAAATCACTTTAAGTCATGATGTTATGGTATTAGGATATTTCAAAAAGTATAGTATATATCCACTTGTTTCGTCATTTACAATGCCATCTCATATTGAGCTTGCAAAAAGACGAGTAAAACTTCACTAAGTGTCCCTAACCAATTCCTGACAAAATCCTGAATGCACACAAGAGTGCAATAGCTGCAAAACTAAAATACAATCGCTAGAAACGTTGTTGCTGTCTTCTTCAAAGAAACAATCCAATTTACTTCACAAATAGCTGGCGTATTTTCATCGCAAAAGGATTGGTAGGTTATAATGTAATTAAATAGTGCTCCTTCGTTCCTCTTGCAAAAGGGGTCAACGCGTGTATTGTTCAAAGACATCCTTTATTTTCTGTATAAGCCGATGTCTAAGCGATATAATTACGTGATAAACATCTAGAAATAAATTACAAGTTCACCGTATACGGCTATATATACCGTATACATAGACACCAATATACGTTAAATACTGTTTGTAGTTTACGCTAGTAGTAAACATTTCAATAAACCACTTTAACGGTCTAAAAAGCGATATATATTAGTTAAACCTATTTGAAAATTATTTTTAACTTCGGCCCGACGTTTCGGATGCTTTGCAGCAGTCGTGGTCACGGGGTGACTAAAAATGGAGGATGACTTTGACATCAAAGTAAAAATTGTAAAGTATATTTTTTATTCAACAGTTTTATTTAGCTCGACCCGTACAGAAATTATTTATTCGGGTCAAAATTAGGAATTGAAATTTAAGCACCTTCCCGTTGTCAAATTGATCTGAAATTTGGTACAACATAATCTTGACAATATTTAAAATAAAATCAAAAACATTATAAATCCAAGATGGCCGCGGATACTAAATGGCGGATTACATATTTTTTCCCTAACCCCCTCAATATGGGTATCAACACTTGTGAAACACGATGATTATGTCAAAATTGAAAACATTTTGTAGTTTTCAGTGCACAAAAAATAAAACTGTATACTTAAAAGTTTTTTTAAGTTGATACTTGTTCATTTAGAGTTTGAAACTTAACTACGACTACCTAGCATTACCAATTGAGCTATTGTGTCACACCAGCGTTTTTTATTTATATATATTATAATTTAAGCAAAAATAAGGTTTTTATACCTCTGTTAGAATTGAATTTCGAATGAACGATAAGCTTAAATAGAATGTGATTTGAATTAAGAATTTAATAGCAGAAGCACGATCTATTGTAATTAATTTAAGCGAATATCTATTATATCCAGACACGATCCCGGCTTTAATTTTGGCAGATAGAATTGTTGCCGTTTACTCGTTGTATTAAGTAGTTTTGTTTAGTGAGAAAGTTAACAAGATACTGTTCAAGCTATGGCTGAAGAATAACTATTCCTAACAAAAGAGCGTACCAAATAAATCGAGAATAGCTAAAGTTTGTGTGTATTGTGTGAAATTTAATTAAAATCTTCGCGAGTACAGCCTGCTTGTTTGAAGACGATTTATTGTACGCTTTGTACTTTTCTGCAGTTTCTTGTAGCAGGTAATTTTGGTACAAACGGGAATTTGTTGCATTGTTTAAGAAGCTCGGACAGAACAGAATTTCGATATAAACAGTTAATTTAACTCGTCAAGAATTTTTAGTGATCGCTAATCTTTTTATAAGAGAATACATAATAGGATAATTAATAATAATACTTTATCGCAATTTTTCATTCATTATAATTTAAAATTTAGCATTATTTAAAACTTTAAAATAAAACACTTTTTTTTGTTGGTACGTATCATTAATACGGTTATCACTGTAATATTTTCATGGTTTGAGCATATCGTGAGGGCGGAAGTTTGATCCTCAACCGTCCACTAAAATATTTACCTTTGTCTACATTACAGTACGTGGGCTACGGTGTAACACTCTTACTGGCATGAGAACAGAAATTTTGACAACATTTATCCATTGCGTTAGAGGTGCATGTAAGGTTGAAAAAATTCCAAGATGGCGTATAGGACACCGTTGCTCAATGGGTTTGAATAACCGCACTCAACGCTGTGTACGCCCGTGTCAAAAAAGTTTTTTCAATCTAAAATAGATTTTTAATTTAACATTCATTCAGTGTAAATCTACCACTTGCTGTTTCCAGCTTCATAAGAAAGGTCAATCCGAAATAAAACCTACAAGTATTGGGAAATTTATTACTCAAAGCCAGCGATATAAAAGTGCTGAGACGTGCTATATGAGAAAAGAACAAGCAAAAATAATCAATTAACTTCAAAAGAGCTAACCTTAATACATTCAGGAGGTTTAAATTAAAATATTTTATGCAAGAGCTCTGCACCACTGAGAAATAATTAATCCGCAAATCTCTATCTCCATAATACGTTTCAGTTATTTACATAATGATATACACTTTATTAAGCGTAATTGATGAGTCTTTTAAAGCTTTGTTTTAAAATGTATGTAGACGACGCTATATAAGCTAATAGTTTGATCTTAAATATACCAAAAAAAAAACGTTTGTTTGAGTTTACACGCTAGTAGTGAACCGCCCCACTGATCAATTTTTTTACTAATAAGTATTTGATCAGAATCCTATGTCATGCTTGACCCTAAAAAGTTATTGTCTTCCCGGGATTCGAACCGTTCAACCTTTGGCTGTAAAGGCTCTCACTCCCTTAGATTGCAACAACTGTAATTATAATAGGTAACTTCGATGTAGACTTAAAATAAAATTAAAACACAGTCAATAAATTTAATAAAAGCTAACATAACCGTAATTACTAATAATGGTATTTTACTTAGAATAGAATAGAAATAATCAGGAACAACACCATTTACAATTTTACAACATTAAAAAAGAGTATTAGATAAAATTAATTATATAGTTGCCTCTGAAAAGGAGACACTCATCTACGTTGGGACTAGATCACTTAATTATATACATAACTTAAGTTTCTTATTACCAGATAGCGACAGAGGTTCGATTCCTGGGGATCATTGAAACACACAAAAAACTCCACGAATTTCACGGTATTGTACTGTAAAGTTAAATAAAGTAGAATACTCAATTATTAGAGTTATGTAAAAACATTGAAGACTAGATTCAAAATAAGAACTATACAAGTGTACACTATTAATAATTCCGAAGGCGTCTGAAGCCGCGGCAGACCTGCGACGTCTTAATCCCGACGGAAAACCCTGCTCTGAAGATATAGCTTGACTTTTTAGTTTTGTCGCAGTGATAAAAATTGACGTTAGTGCAGTCATTGTTGCTCTACTTCGTAGATAATGTTTATTTGTTAAATATATTTCAAAATAAAATATAACCAAAGCAATTTTGACAGACTCATTGTTCGAATGTTAGCAATGTATGGTGGATCAACGGGTCGTGGGTACGATTTCCACCAGATCCAACATGTTTCAAATTTTTCAATTTATAATTTTTCTGAAAGGTATTGGGGCTTTGGAAATCTGGATATTAAATGGGTAGGGTAGATTATAAACTACGAATATAAAAATCCAAAGCCAAAATAGGTCGATAGCGCATCTATCGGGTATACCCGATAGATGCATTAAAAGAAAACAAGAAATTTAAAAAGTACGAAATTTGTGGGTAGTTAAATCTAATAAAATTGAGCCAAACTCCATAGATTTGTAACGCGTTATAGAGGCAGTCAGTAATACTACTATATAGGTGATGTTTTACAGCCCAAAGCATTTCTCGATAAATGCTCTTACCAAAACAAAAATATATTTTTAATTCGAACCAATAGTTAGATATGCGCGTTCAAACAAACGAACTCTTCAGCATTATAACATTAGTATAGATTATGCGTTTGTGTTTCTTAATTAAAAGAAAAAGAAAATGAACTTCTAGTTTCCACCAAATTATTATATGCTGTGGATGAAAAACTATCAATTTTGATATAGCCGTAATAAACAGCTAACTCGATAAAAGCTAATCTTTACGAGCGACATCACAACGCTCAAAACTATTACATCTTCCAACTCAATAAACTACGAAACGCTTTTCATTTACATTCGACTGCCGTCCGACGTTGTATGAGCTATAAATTGGCCCTGCGACTCCATTCTATGGCTCCCTACTAAAGAATACTACGTAAAAAGCCAAAAGTTGATACCCATTGCTGGTATAACAACACGTCCGCTGATAGACATTAATTCGAACAGAGCAATGTATAAATACCTTATAAGTAAGATACGAAAAATGTCGTGGTATTAGTCGATAAATCGGACCCTTTCAGTTTATCGCTGATCGGAAAGAAACAATATGAAGAGAAAGAATCCAACTTATGGCGAAGAACGCCCCCGTATAGATTTGTTAGGAGAATTTAGGAGTGACCTAAGATAAAGGCGTAGTTCATTTTGTACATACCACAAATACCTAACATTCCGATTCAGTTAAATACATATAAAATTAAATAGGCGGTATTTAGGTGGGGTATTTGGCTTACCACTAAGTAAATTTGCTTGTCTATCCTTCTCTGTCATAAAAAAATATATATTTTGTGGTTGTCGTGTCGTTGGGTCATTTGAAATGTGGTCTAAACCTTTCACCCCTTGTGGATTACTCTGTTTGATAGTCATCCCGTGGTCACGGGGAGACTATCAAACAGAGTAATCCTTTCAGAAACGTCGGGCCGAAGTTAAAATAATTTTCAAATAAGTTTAACTAATATATCGCGTTTTAAACCGTTAAAGTGTTTTATTTAAACAAGTAAAGTGTAACGAATGATTAAAACTGTCTGATTTACTTTCTTATGAAGGTGAAAAATCCTGAAATAGAAGAGAAACTAAAGCGTAGTAAGATTTCGGAAGAACCCGAAAAATAATTCCGAATGGAATAGAACATTTCAATATTGTCGGTCGAAGTTGGAATGCATTGGTCAGTGTCACCGGACGGGAGCGAACCGCATTATTCTGATATCAATTGCGCCATCTCCTACATTTAACTTCAATATTCTGTTATGCACCTCATCCACAGACCGAGCAATGCTCTTCAAAAGAAGTTTGTCGTGAAAAAAAACCCACGTTTAGCGTGTCATCCGCTTTTTCGCAGGGTACGCAGCGGAATCTCTCAATCATGAATGATTTTCCCCGTTTCCGATTTTTCTCTGTTCATTCACTCCTATTGGTCGCAGTATGATGTTTTGTAGATCAGAGCCTTCCTTAATGGTCCAACCAACACAAAAATATTTTTTCAATTCGAACGAGTAGTTCCGCAGCGCACGCATTAGCGCGTTTAAACAAACAAACTCTTCAGCTAAAAATATTAGTATAGTTCTTCAAACGCCTTTCCTAGCAATGCGCTAAGCGCGATATACGAATCATAGGAAATGAAAAATTACACACAAAAATTATAGAAGACATAGGTTAAATCAAGCATTTATTTTAAGTAAACAACCTTACGCCTAAGTAAGGTATTTTATTTTTTTAGAAATGTCATTTTATAGGTAAAATGGATTTTCGAGAAAAATAAAATACCTCCAAAAATTCCAATAATACAAGACCTCTCACTAAAACTAAGCTACAAGGTTAAACAAAATGATTATCGTTAAAATATAAAATGATCGCCTATCTCCCACTCCTGCACGAACCTAAGACCGCGACAAGGAACAATAAATCTACAGACTAAACTAAAACTATTCTCTCAGAAATTGAAAAGCTATTTTACAGATAACGTATGCCAACTAAAGCTTGGATTACGGATATAATACGCGTTACTAATGCACAGTCATTACAAAAGCTTTTCTGATAGGATTACTCAGTTTGATAGTCAATAGCAATTTTGAAGAATTATAGAAGATTAAACATTTTATTAGATCCATTTAAGGATTCGATGTTGTAAGTAATGTAAGTGTTGTTTTAAAAGGTCTACAGAACCAAGCTATAATTATTACAGGTATGACTTAAATATTACAAAGACCTAAAAATTAAACATGACATGCAAATAAAATGTTAACAAAGATAATTATACTTAGATCTAATATAAACGAAACAAAAGTAACAATAAATGTGAAATATTCGACTACTAAAAAAAAATCAATAACTGTCGAAGGCCCGAAGTAGTATGGTGAAAAATATCAAGGTCAGAAGAATCACTCTTCTTGATATAGTGTTAAAGAAGAAGATTTTAAACGCCTTTTTAATTTGTTTGTAAGTCTAACAGTTAATACTCTGCAGTACTGGAGGGACAGGCCTTACATTTAGTTAGTTTTTTTTAAATGCCTCAAAAAGCAAGTTTGGAGGTTTGTTCTATTGTCACTACTTTAGTCACGGTAGTCTTTATAGGCCGTCATTCCCCACTGGAATTTGTGTGGTGGGTCAAAGCTGTTCAAACTTTTTATTGCAGATCTATGCCCAATCTTAAATTTGGCAATAAGTTGCTTATGAATTAGGATTTTCACTCTAAAGAAATGTTGTAAGCTTCCAATTTGTTTTTAAAGAGAGATTGAGTTTCCTATTAAATACGCATACAAATAATTATTTGAAGCTAAAAATACTTAGAACTACAACATAAGAGCAACACAACACATTAACTACGCTCTATAGCAATTAGTACTTGGAAAAAAGTGCGCATTGCTTAGCGAAATGGTCGGACGCCTTAATTGCCGGTTTTTGTTCAAAATAATAACTTTTCACCTAAAAATAGGAGATTATATGTGAATTTATTGCACCCACACACGAATATGAGGAAAAACTAACAATGTGACGGGGAAAATATGAGAGTCATTGTTGAGAACCGTGACTGAAACAATGAACTCGGAATACCATGCTTGTGTGCTTGGAATTTCTTTGAAAATATATTATGAAAATCTAGCGGATCCGCTTATGCGATTTCACATTAAAATTTATAGATATTAGCTTTATGAGAAAAGAGTACGGACAAGACCGACATTAAATATTCGGAAATCCACAGACTTCTTTATCTGTGGACGATAGTTCGTTACCCGGACAGAATTTTGATATTACTACCCTATTTAACGTCCAGATTTCCTGACAAAGTCCATCTTTTTTCAGAAAAATTATAAACAGATGAGAAACTCGTTAGACCTGGTGGCGATCGAACTAACGACCCGTGGAAGATTAGCCATACAATGTTACAATAAGGCCAATAGGTATATTATGTATTAATATTCAACTAATACAAATTTGAGATGATAATGATAAAACATAAACGTGCTCAATCCTTCAATTACAATCAAGTCCTTTACCGAGAATCAAGGTTGGAATGTTTTGGATGATATAGAGAACTATTATCAGAGTCAGGAGTTCACCGGCCTCCGGTCTCGGGAATCCACGAGCGTAATCTAGAAGGCGTTTACAGTCTGGTACTTGGATGTGTATATGAAGACTATTACGACAACGGCTTCACATACACAGGCAGCGGAGGCCAATATCTGTCCCGCGACCAGACGCTTACGAGGCAGAATATTGCTTTAGCAAGAAATTGCGTAATGAAGATAATAAACAAGACGGCGCCGACGCCGGTGACTCTTGGAGAGGGGATTGCCAGTTCGCATCGTCAGATCGTATAAGATGCAGAAGCACTTCCCCACATACGCCCCTAAAGAGGGATTTCGATACGACGGCATCTACAAGGTTGTGAAGTACTAGCCCGAAAAGGGTCTTTTAGGGTACAAAGTCTGGAAATATAAATTGCGAAGAGATGACCCTAATCCCGTGCCATGGGAAGACGAAGCGAAGCAGTTTTCCATTGTTTGTCCAGATGGTTATCTAGAAGCAGACAGAAAAAGCCAGCCCAAGGATAATAAAAACACTTTTCCAAGACGGAATTAATGCCAACCAAAAAAAAAAAACTTGTAGTACAGGAGGTAGTGCTACTAAAAAAAAATCAAGTGTCTAAGGTTTCTTCAACTCTAGTAAATAATAATGCTGAAATTAAAAGAAAAAAGAATCAAAGGGAAAGGATGAATTATGAACTGCCAATAATTACATCTGATGACGATGATAATATAATGACACCGAAAAGGACGAGTTCTAAGACAATTTCTCCGAACGAGAACTGAAGAGTGCATTGAGGGTATTTCTCCTGGAATACGACGCTGGTAAGGGGGTGAACGGACATAACATCTTTCCGACCCCAAATGTCACCTGCGCGAATAACATAATCCGCGGCGGTATCTTCTCAATACCGCGGTCCCCCTGCTAGATAACAAAAGAGGCAATGGCGACTGAACCGTGGCGGTAAATCCACATACCCGACAACTCTCACGAGGCTTCAGTGGCCTTGAGATCCAAATAATACAGACTAGTGTAGAAGGCAAGGGAAAACCCCCAATTTTTTCCCCCAACAACAAAAACTTATACCAAAAAGGGATCCCCTTACTTCCCCCCAAAAAACAAGGAAAATTTTGTTTTGACCCAGACCCCCCGGGGGCCCCCCCAAAAACCCCAAAACCCAAAAGGGGCCCCCCCCCCCCCCCCCCCCCCCCTTTTTTTTTTTTTTGTAGCTCCAGCTCCGAAAATATCGAGAAATTCTACACAGATTTACAGACCACTATAGGAAAGGTGCCCAACCGAGAAATGCTGCTGATAATGGGCGATTTTAACTCTAAAATTGGCTCTAATTCCAGACACTACAGCGGCCTTCCACACTATCTGTAATAACGTATGGCAAATAGTATCTGGCCAATAGAATGGACGCACACAGTCTTTACTCGTGTCGTAAGTCCTTACACAAAAAAAGCTCTTCAAGGATAAGTAATAACTTTATATTCAAGTATAATCGGCTCATTGCTCTAATTTCGCACGCTTCTTCGTAGCGGAGTGCGAAGGGGGGTTAAGGGTTTGCGAGGATATTTGGATGGGGCACAGTAACTTACTTTGTGTAATAGCTAGTAGTCAATTTTATTTTGTAATAATTTTGATAAGAATATAGCGTTGGATATGATTCTACGATTGCGTAAGGGGTTCATTTTGAAGTGAGCTGTTTTTTATACGAAGGCAACTTTTTTTTTGAGAGACCAGAGGAATATACGAGATGTAACATAAATCTTTCCTGTATCCTTTCAAGACGTACTGAGTGGGTGGAAAAATGTGGTCGCTAAATTGTAGCTAGTTCGTTTATAAATAAGTTAAATAGAAATGGCCCAATTAATGAACCCTGTGGTATTACAGAGGTGATGATTTGTAGATTAGAGCGATAGCCATTTATAACAACATAAAAGCGACGATCGGAGAGATAAGATTTCAGCAATCGTGGACCGTGCCTACAACTCCGTATGCTAATAATTTATCCAATAAAATACTATGCGGAACCCGGTCCAATGCTCTGCTGAAATCTGTATATAAAACGTCTACTTGTTTGTTATGATCGAGTGCTTCAACTACACATTCAATGAAATCTACCAAATTTGTTACTGTAGATCTACGAGGTACAAAGCCATGTTTGTTGCAATGCATAAAAGTGAGATGTCAAGAGAGGATGCAGCAGACGCTCCATAACAAGCAAACCTAAGCACGACAGAATAGAGATCGGTCTATAATTCTGAATAATTTGTTCGTCTCCCGCTTTAAAAACAGGTACAATTTTGACTGTTTCCCAATCGTTTGGAAATACGCCGGTGCATAAAGATACGTTGTAGATAATTAGTAAAGGTGTAACTAATCAGCGCACATAGAAATAAAAAGAGGGGGAATGCCGCCGGGACCAGCGCCTTTGTTCCTGTCTAAATTGCGTAATATTTTTAAGAGTGCATCACGATTGATTTTATATGTTGATAAATGCACATTTAGTTGGCTGGTATGACGTCTGAGTGAAACATTAGGGACATTGTGCTAATCAGAAGTGTGGTCATTAGAGTGAATTGAGGCAAAGTATGATGAAAACATTTCGCAAAATTCACTACCATAGCTAGATTCTAATTCACCATTTGACATCACCGAGGGATATGTGCTATATCCACCTTTTTTCGATTTTAGATAAGACCAAAAAAGTTAAAGATTTATTTTCAAATTTGCTTCGGTTATGTATATAATAATTATAGCACTGTGTAGCCAATGTTGCAACGAGTACTTAAAAGTTTCAGTTCAATCTCATCTCGAGAGTTTTTATATTTTATCTCGTAGCTTATACTTTTATTTTATATTATTTAAGACTTTTATCAGTTGCTTACTAAACCATGGTGAGAATTTATGAATCTTTATTTTTTATAAGGTACATGCTCTTTACGATGGACCGACCAAATAAAACATGCGGTGGGCGATACTTTGAATGAATGCAGCAGAATGACTCATATCATTTAAGCGAAACATTTAGTCTAATACGATCTACCCCTTGCTACAATGCTACATGACGATTACAACCTCTCTGCTAAGAGAGATACGACTGAGAAGAAGATATACAAATTTACAATTTCAAAACAACTACGTCTACTAGTGCTAGTCTGTAATAAAACACATATTCTTAAGATATTGAATAATATAGCTTTGAACAGGTTCAGACGCTAATAATATCAGGTTTACAATTTGTCACTACGTCCCAACGTTTCGTAGTCATAAAAAGAACATTTAAAAGTAATATAATCTTAGTAGCAAAAAAAGTATTTAAATAAAGCATTTTAACGGTTTAAAACGCGAAATAAAGTTATACTTGCTCACTGATATATTTCGCGTTTTAACCGTTTAAGTGTTTTATTTAAATACTTTTTTTGGTTATCCAAGAGTTAAGTGTTAAATTACTTCAAAATGTTTCTCTTCATGACTATTGAAAGTCTACGCAATGTGTAGGTACTACTCGCATAAACCACATATCGCATTTAACTAAAAAAGTCTTATCATAGAACTCATACAAATATATTCGTGTTAAGGTCGCCCTAATTATATTGCTTCTAACATTCCTTCAAAGCCCTTGCACCTCCATGATTAAACTGTTAACTCCGAGAACCATAACGGCCATCTGGTACTAACCCATTCTTATGACACGCGCGACGCCGCGGTGGAAACTAGTTTAAAATAGACAATCATGAAGCGGAGTTTGACCTAGTTACCGTGCCACGGTATAAATTGTAGTAATTAATAAATTAGTCTGATTACGAACAAGCCGCAGTTCTGAACTGAGAGGGGTTGCGGTTTAATTAACAAATTCGGCGTTTTGTCACGTACCTACTAGATTTTATTAAACTTTCAATAGGCGTACTTACTTGGTAAATAAAATGCAAGATTATTTACGCAGCTATCTATTATTCGTTAGTGTGCCCATCCACACCGGGTCCAACATTTTCCTAAATTTTTCTGAAACATCTTGGAATAAGACATTTTTATTGGTTTACAACAGCCCGTGACCACAACTGTAAAACGTGGGGTCGTAGTTAGGATGAAGTTGAAAACATTTTCGCGTTTTGAACCGTCAAAAAAGCGGTGATAGGAATTGTTATAAGCCAAGCATGTAGTTGTATGCCAATCTCAATTATAAATTTAAACTCTTCAGTATGACGGACTCCTCGAACTAATAGTAGCAAAGTATGACCACTAATCAACGGATCTAATACGTTTCTAATCTTTTTATAACTTTCTGAAACTTGTTGAACTTCATCTCGACATATAGATATTAAATGTATGATAGAAACATCTAAATTTTGTCCGTGTCACGAACCACCGATGTCGTGTCCATAGATAAAAATGCCGTCAGATTTAATCGCGTTTCTTGTAGTGCTTGTCTATCATCCTCTATCATAAAAAAACTGTAATGATTCCTTACTAACAACTCCCAGCAAGGGTCCACGAATTGACGTAGCAGGTATGATATTAATCGCCTTAAACACTCAACCGGATTGAAAACGTGGAGCCTTGCGTTCGATTATTAGGCGACACAATATTTAATGTTCTTTAACCAAGCGCGTGCTTATGAGCTTTATCCATCCTAAAATATAGACGGTTTTTGGCCAGTATGTTAGATTTATGTCTAGTCCCAGTTTTGGGAACTGGTATACGAGTTTTAAATAAACATTTAGTTATAATTCTCAAAGCTTAATACTATTCGTACCTTATGTAGCTTCGTGTGCAATCTTTAAACAGTCTAGCGACAATGTTTACAGTACTGTCGCATTCAAAACGAGTTTCCTAAATTGAATTCTTTAAACAACGTCACTTTTACGAGGCACGTGGGTCTCATGTCTTTACGAGGCCTTAAAAGGCGCGAAAGAGCTTCCACTTAAATTTATATAATACCTACTTAGTGTTATTAAGTAGAGAGCAACTTTGAAGCCACTCATCGTGTGTACAGTCACGTTGTTAATGTTTTAATAAATTCTCCGATGCTAATGAATGAAAATTTCGGTATTATATTGAAATTTGTTGACAATAGCTTGTTCGTTGTTGCTCGGTTATACTGTTGGAATTTCGCTTTGTAAAAGATTTGCTGCTCAAATTTGTAAAGTAATGTTATAGCTTCTATGGAGGTAGAAGTGTTGGAGGTAGAAGTGTTGGAGGTAGAAATATCGTTGCGTAACACTTTTTTGGTAAATTAATTGCGTTCCTAGAAATTATGTTGCATTTATTATTATACTTTCAGAGATTGTGTTTGAGACTTTATTTCTCTATGACAAATTAAAATTTAATCACACATTATAATTTTTTAAAACAAGTAGACTATTTTAAACATCAAATAAATAAGCTTATTATATTAGCAAATGTGATTATTATAATTTATTAAAACATTTTGAAAGAAACATTTGTATTTAAATAAAACACTTTAACGGTTTAAAAGGCGATATATTAGTTAAACTTGAAAATTATTTTTAACTTCGGCCCGACGTTGCGGATGCTTTGCAGCAGCC